TTTCAAGGCAACATCTAATACGTATTTTTATCCGATGAAGGGGATTTCTCCCCGGTACTTTGAGTGTTACCCCTGGCTACAAAAAGATTGAAGAAAAATAGAACAAGACGAAATCTCTAGCAGTAAGATTCCCCACCTACTTGTTGTATTGTGTGGTTCCATGCCAACCCCACGGAAGGGATGGGATTTTCCAGAGGGCATTACTTTGAAAGGCTGTTCAGTCAGCATCACCAATGAGTGTTACTGACAACGTGGCACGTTCTCACTGCCCATTACAAAAAAAACAGAGGCATGGTATCAAGTGACACAGGCAGCTGATTGCTGCCCACAATGGAAATGCTTTTAGAGAAAATAGCCACGTCGTAGTAGGAAATTGCTACTCTGCCCATAGTGCTCGTTACCCTGGGAGATTACTCCCTATGATGGTTTATAGGGGCAGGCTCCACCCAAAAAGGAGGACCTTTCAGTCTTCAGGTATATAATTATAAACGAATAGGGATTTCATGAAATATTCCAAGTAATATGAAAGGGTAGGGAAATCTGTCACTACAGTTTTTGAAAGGCCTTGAATTAAAAAATTTTGATAAGACAGCATATGGCTATATCACTTTAATTTATTAAACACAACACATAATGAAAAAAGGACTTACTGTTGGTAGGTATGTGAAAGGGGGGGGGGCAGCAATATTTTTCAATTGAATGTATATGAAAAGGGTACCTTAAATTGGTCAAAAATGCCATCTAAGAGGGTAAGGGGTTGGACCTTGGGATAGGGCCTCTCTGTATAACAACAATGTTGTTTAATCCCCCCACCCCCCCTTCCCTGGCCTCCTTAATGACCAAAAAACAATAATTGACAATACTGTTTCAAAACAGTGAATATATATGTACTTCAGCCTTTTAATGACTCAATTTTGATAAAAATTAATATGGTTTGATTCTCAGGTGTACTTACCCAGAACAAGGAGAGGCCATTTCAAAGAATTTCACATCTGTTAAGCAAATTTCACTTGATCAAATACACCACCTGAGATAAACCAAAACATAGAATTAAATGCAAATAATGATTTATTTAAGTTTTCTAGCTGGTAGTTCAAAAAGCACCTGCACAGGTACATGTACTGCATACCTCATCACACTTACAGGGGAGTTAAATGATGGTTAACAATTACTGGTAAACAGCTTTCTGGTGACAGCTTTGTACTGACATAACACTTGGGCGTCAAGCTTGCCTCCCTCTTCATCTTGAGCAGTAATTTTGGCTAGGCCAAGGCTCAGCCACCCTACCATGTGGGCAGTTCCAGGACAGCCTGATCTTGTCAATTATTAGACTCAATCTTTACCGTTCAAAGATAGGGTAAGATGGCAGCGTGACACTTTTTTAAAACTTCTAAATAATGGACTTCAACCAGTAAATGAAATATAGCACATGTAACTGACATCAAGAGCACATGAACATGGCATTCACTGCCATTAACTCTTGCTCCCCTGCTACTGAACTGGAAAATTTGCAGATAACCTGATTTCCACAACCACTGTAGAAGAAACAGTTGTTGTTCAGTGGTTGTGGTAATTAGATTGCAAAATAATAAAATATAATAATAATAATAATAACAACAACAACAATAAAGACCCCTATCGGGTGAACACATTTGATTTCATGTTATAATATAATGAGTGACAAATGATTATTAGTCCATCATTTGGTGCGAAATTTCATCGTCAATAATTTCAGATGTGAAATTAGAAAACTGCCATGGCAACATTCCATACATGTCAGTGCCAAGATGGTGGAAACGTTTTGAAATGTTATGAATGAAAATTTCATGGCATTAAAAAAATGCTTTAGAAAACCTAAACACACTAAGAAGCACAAGAAGGATTCTATCAGGTATTTTGTCAAAAAAGTCTGAAAAATATGAACTTAAGCCAAAATTGTAAGCTCTAAAGTTCAGTGCAGTGCATGGATTAATAGCTAATCAAATGGTTTACTTGTGAAGTAAGGGAATAAAAGCTTTATAAATTAGGATCAGGAAATAACTAGAATTTGAAAAAAAGTGCGTAAAATAATTATTCTCTTAATTCTTCTCTGGTGGCCTAAAATGGAGGAAATATACAGTATTTATAAAATTACACACATCTCGTCACATTCCACAACTTCACCCATTTACAGATTCATTCACATATATTAAAACAAAATCCCCTTACAACAATTTGAAAGACAAAAGTTTTGTAAATAAAAGTTGGTTTTCAACTAGCTGCGAGTCAATGAGTGTTATGGGGGAATTCCTCGCAGAGCTGCCGCTCGTGCGCATTTTCTGGTCATAAACAAAGGTGCTGGACAGTTCTATCAGAGCTTCGATACAAGGTAGCTTACAATCTCAATACCTTTTTCCTGAATTGGAAGAAACGTTCAGCAGAAAAAGCCGTTGAGGATGCATTGCAATACAACAAAATGTTTGTAGCAGGAGTTTGAACTAAAACTGCCAAGAGATATTTGAAAAATGTCGAGGAACAAGTCATTCGACGTCAGAGCAAGGTTTGGAGCAATAGACCTTGTCACGGTTTTCGACGCCATCTTGAGGGTAAGGACAAAATGTGGGGTAGGCCATGGTGTGGGGGTGGTCAATTTTCTTATTTCTTTGATATTTTAAAGGGAAAATGCATATAAATAATATAATAAAATATAATAAATTTCTGCCATGAATTCCTCTCCAACACTAAATGAGTTGTTAATGTTGAGTCACTTGCCGTGTCACGCAGGTGTCATAAAGTAAGAGGTTGTTCGCGGTCTATTTCTAGTCAATTGTTACAAAGACGCCAAAAAATGGAATGTTGCGGAGTGTTCGGAGTATTCTAAGATTAGAAAAAACAAACAAACAAACGAAGCTGCGCGGCCTGAAGAGTCTGGGTACGACATTGAAAACCAGAGCGCTCATACCCATCTGGTCAGCGGTCTTTAATACCTACTTGCTCTTTTGCAAGGACAAAGTATCAGAGGAGATAAAGTTCAGGTAACATATATTGACAGATTGAATTCTGCAAGCAGAATACTGCAGTGCTGATCGTACTACGTGAAAATGAAAACAGCTGTCTATGGCTACAATCCCGCTCTGTTTTGACTTCTTTCGGTGTCGTGTTGATGTCTTGCAAAGTTAATGTTCACGTTGTACGATCAGCATTGCAGTATTCTGCTTGCAGAACTAAATGTCTGTTTGTTATTTTTGCTGTTCAGGTCTTTATAGATCCCACGTTCTTCGGTATATTCGTTTGCGGTCCTTTGTGGATAGTGTTTGTACGTAACATATATTGTTCATTCTCTTTATACGCATTTTTGAAAGCGTTGATAAAATGAACAGACTAAAATACTACGATTTCTTTACATAACAGTACAAAATTACTGCTTTGGGTGAAGTTTACGCAATTAATGTCCTCAGCCGGAAAATGATAGCAGAGGCGGTAGTCCCGTGGGACGTAAGGAATTAACGAAAACAACCAGCCATATGGCAATTTAGAACCATAAGTAATAACAGAAAGCAAGTGTTTTATTCATTTGTTATCAAACACAAATGAGTGAAAAATTGCAACAGGAACGAGGTACTTTGTCTTTTGCAGTTTGCGGTCACGTGACCTGCGAGATGACACACAGTAAAAATCAAATACAGTATTTCATCACAGTTGTATCATTGTTCCTTGCATGAAATACGGTTGACATTCATTTTTATCTAATTAATAATTAAGAAAAAGAGGTCACGTGACACTCCTTATCTTATAATATCTTTTTAATCGTTTTAAATTTTTCTTCACTACAGCCAAGAAAAATCTTTGTAACGAAAACCAAACAATTATACGTAGTTTGGAAGTAGATCAAATTAACCATTCCTACCTCATTTTGAAAATTCTTTTGAACGTCATCGTGACGTCACGTGTCGCGTGACCCCATCAGAAAACGCGTCAAAATAAAATTTCCCGAAAATTTTCAGAAACTTTTCGAATAAAAATCTTCGCCGGTAGTGGAGACAAAAAAAATTCAATCCTTAAGGTGCTTAAACAAGGAACATTCATTGGAAAGAAGATAGACATTCAAACACGTTCAAATTTGCAGAAACTTAACATGCTTCATCAAGCCTTTCCCTTAATAAATGGAGGTCTGCAGCATTCAATGTGTAGGGAATAGACATTCGAACACTTTCAAAGTTGAAACTTGGATTTCGCCCCACTAAACAATTGCGATACAGATGAAAATGCTTATTGTCAAAAGTTTTTTTCCAGTAGTTCTGCGTTTTAATCCAGACATAATCATGCTCTTTGTGGCGAAGACACATTCTCTGATCTAGGTCGGCTTTCAGAAATGGATCCGGTCCGTCCTTAAGTTCGCCACCACATCCTGCGCATTTTCGGATTTTCCCTTTAATTTCTAAAAGTTCAAAGGGGGTGCTAGTTGTAGGATAAACCAGCGGTTTAGTCGGTTTGGCCCTTCGAATTGTCATACGCAAATCGGAGGTTGAAATGGCGGCATATTCTTCGTTAGTTTGAGCGATGGCATCACCAAGGGTGCCTTTGCAGGCAGCCATGTTTGTCATCACATCAGGTGACTTGCTACGGTGCCTTATTGTCTGACTGGATTTCTTTTTCCCTGCAGCTCTGTTGACAGAGAATGTCGTCAAGGACGTCAAATTTTCTTTTCCTCGCCTGCTTTTCTTGAACCAGGAAATGAATTGTAACAAACAGTGACTAGCTGCAGCAGCTGCCACCGTGTGCGCACAAACTTTGCGTGACACAAACCCCAGGCATTCTTTGTCACAAGAGAAACCGGCTCCTACTCTTTTAACGATATGGGGCTCCGATGTGGAGGTGCTCCTGACAAAGAATGTGTCTTTGTCAAATCCTGTACGAATGCCATCGTCAGTTTGGAGACGGACAGCCTTATCTGCCAGAGCTTCCACATCTTTCTTTGCAAAAGTATCCAGCAGACCCTCCAAGCACTCCAGTATTGTACCGACCCTTACACCAAGGACGGGTTCTTCTTCCAGATTTCCCATGTCACTAAAACCTTCAAAGTCATCGTTGCCGCTACTAACATTTGAGGCAGGTGTGTTCAGCGTGCGCGGAAGGCCTGGTTTTGTGCAGTAACGTAGTACTTCTCCTGGTATCGTGTGGGGTCAACAAAAACTTTTACGGATTTCATGATGGTTTTACGCTCCTCCAGTGTGGCATCTAAAAACGCTCTCGGTTTTACATGGTCTCGATATTCTTCTCGTACTAAGTACGGACTATGAAGTCCCAGAAAGGCTCTGTTTACATCACTTCGTTGTTTGTCAACAAGTTCCTTTATATCATCCACGAACGTGCTCATGTTTTTCGTCTCAAAATTCTGCCAGCGCTTCATGACAGCATTTACAGACTCGGATACATTGTTGCACTGAACCTCATCGCCAAACCCGGCTTCTCTGGATACCTTTGCTGACAAATGGTTCCATACTTCATCGGCTTTGTGTCTCACAAAATACGTTGCAAACTGCGGATCTCGCCTTGTATCCTTCTGCTCCAAGGTGTCCCACTTCCTTTTTAGCTCCTCAACTTTCGCCCAATATTCAGTTTTCTCCGACGCGTGGACAAGGCCTTCGGATCCAAATATGTCATTGACGATAACTTCAGTGGCAGCTTTCGACATCTGCAGCTTGGAGCATTTTTCTTTGATGTTCTGTTTCACGTGCAGTTTGCACAAGAATGAGACGGACCTCTCAAACTCCTGTCCAAACGCTTCACGAAGTGCTAACTCACCATCCGTGCAATATGCTTGTAAGTAGGCCTTCACTCCGGGTAAACGAGCCGTTATTTTCTGAAACAATGTTATGTATGTTGCTTTGTCCTTAAGCATGCATAACATGACAGGGCCAAGAAGGACTGGACAAACGGGATGGCTAGAGTTCTTTGTGTAAAGCGTTGTATTTCGATAAGAAGTAACCAGCACAAAAAAAGGCCCTAGCTGGAAAGTGACATCTACATAGAGAATTGATTTGTGCCCATCAACATCATTACAGCAAAAGTTGGCAATGTCGTCTAACTGCTCATCAGTGAATAAGATGACCTTTGGAGAATCGTCATCCAAAGAATAAGCACGGGTGAATTTTTCCCCATCTTGGGACTGCTCTTTCATTTTTTCTGTTATTTGAAATATGGGATCCATTACCTTCGGTGGTCGACACTCGCCCTTTAAGTACTTCACTTGTCGTTCGTTTCTAGGGAGCTGTCCAACAGAATTGCACTGTTCAAGTCCACCAACATCGTCTTCTATTTGCTGTACGACTCTCTTCAATGACTTCTCTTTTCCAGAGACAGCAGTCGCCATCTCTGACATGGTGCTTCTATAGGTCCTCAGATAGGGAATTGCACAGCCTGATTTTGCACTCCCATGAGGCTTTAACTGAATGCTGTGCTCTGGCGCTCCTTCGAAGTAATAACGCACAAAGACCAACTTGTGATGGCTTCCGTCGGGACGAACCACATTGACGATGGTCTTTCGCGTCGAGTTATCACTCCTGTTCACAAATGTTCTACGAAAGACACTATGCTTACCGTCAGCGTAATCAGGCCGTTTTATGATCTTTGTGACATGGCCATTCTTTCTTCCTAGTTGGTACTTTTTGACTGAAGTTTTGCTTTGATTCCAGGAACCAGGATCATCACAGAGTAAATCTTCTGGGTCCTGGAGCTGATCGAGATCCACCAGAAAACACGCGTTATTTTCGACACGGATTGGATGCGTTGTAGCGATTAAGCTGGAACGAGACTTCTCCGCGTTAAGTAGAAAAGGAACGACGCCATTGTTACTGAAATCACTCAAGATCGCAGGGGAAATCACAGGAAGCTGTCTATTTCCTTTGTAATACGAAGGGATATGGCTTTCCTGTTCGTCGCATGAACTGGAATCCGAAAGGTCTAAGCGACGTGCATACCTGTTGAAATAGAACACAAGCGTTTAATGTTAAGTGTGGGATATCCACGTTTCAAAAGTATTGGTGTCTGTTTATCATTCTTTCGGTCGACTTGTTGTTCAAACTGGATTGTTTGATCAAACACGCAAGCACTATTGTTGAACATACCGTTTTGTGTCATTACCAGCAGGGTCTTCATCACCGCGGCTTCTGGTACTGCCGTCGCTTCTGCTACTGTGCGGAAATAAAAATGATAGTCAGTGTTATCAATTGACCAGCAATAGGTTTCTTTGCACTTTGACAAATGCTACAAAATCTAAAATCTTGCAAAAGAAAGTGTTAAGAATTTGGCACTTTCTTACCCAAAGGACACCCGGGCCGCGAATGTGGCACCGTTGTTACCCCTACCCCACCCCACTCTGATCAAAGTTGTTCGGTAAGGAGCAAAGATGTTCCGGCCGGGCTTAAACATTGTTTTTTTGGGGGCAAAGGGGGAAACATGTATAGTCAATAGTGCTTTAAAGAGCCGTATTAGACATATAACGTGCATTTTACTAGACATTTTTGTCAAATAGTTTAGGTAAGTAACAATGTCACTTGGAACCAACCTTATGTCCTTACAATTTGCGTCATTCTCACGTCCAAACCCGGTTTGTTCAAATACTGGATTCCACCAAAAAAATCACTATCCAGCAGATAAGTATTACAGAAACCAATTGCATTATCCAATGGATAGGAGGTTCATCCAGTGGATATCTTCATCAAGCTTTTGAACAACTGGGGCCAGACCTATTGAGTGAAAACTTTTTGGATCCATAAATCAAACTTATCTCTCTTAAACAAATTAATTTATGGGAATACTATATTTGCCTGCAGTATACCATAAATATGAACAGTATCTTTGGTTTATATGCTTTTGATATCAACTTTTGGATGACTGATGCCTGTTTCAGATGTTGAACTTAAACAAGACGGAGTCGAACTTATCAGTACTGATGAGGCCCACTAAAATTTATAAGCGCACATCAGTTGTTACAGACGTCAATAGTACCAAATGCCGTGAAATGAACTCATGTACGTGGTAAGTTCCGCAAATGGAAACCTCATCATCTGGATCAGACTGCATCAAACACATTCCAGAGTTCCCGGCAGATGGATAAACAACAACAAAACTTTCAATGTACTTGATTGAAGGAATGAGGTTTGGGTCTTGGTTTGGTAACCAATCCTATCACTAAATGAAATGAATTTACTTACTGCACAATGGACTCTTTTACTTTCCCTCTTTTCGTTGGGCTCTCTAAAAGTGATAGCTCTTGTGCCAGTATTTCCACCTAATTTTAGAATGAAGAAAAAAATTGTAGGCTGTGAATAAATGAATTTTAAGTTACAGTAGAAATCAAAGTACGCTTAGCAAGCTGACATGGAGGCTCATTTCGGTCTAATTTCAAAAACAATTAACCTGTAATGACATTAACAACTGTCAATAACAATTAACTTACAAATCGATTTAAAGAATTAAAACGACAAGTGAAGTACACGAATTCTTCCAGCAAGAAATAATGTGTTGCCTCCGAGCAGAGTCAGTTTCTTACCTTTGAATCTATTGTTTCCTTGTCTATTTTTTCTTCTGAAAACAAATCAAACGTTTTCTGTAAACAAAAGGTAATCTACGTTTTCTGTTCAGTCTGTTGTTGTTCTTGTTCAGAATCATTGTCCTGATTGAAACAAGCATGAGACTTCTTTTGGACCTTTTATAAGGCACCTTTGATTTGTAAATTGTCAAGTATATGTGTGCAATACCGAAATGACAGTTGCCTCTGTGGCTTATAAAACTGTAAGTCATTATTGTGGTTATAAGAGAAACAAAGATGCCAAAAGCACACCTGGCAGCAAGATTTTTTCTGGGTGTAAATCACATAAATCAACATGCTTCACGGTCTTCATGGTTGTCTATCTATTATGGGTAAATAATGACGAAAACATGTCATGCTATCTGCTATATTTCAGGAAAAAATAAAAAACAAAACAAAGCAAAAATCTTCCTCTCATTATAAACTGGATTCCAAAAGCTATGGTCCAGTTTACCGATTCAAGATTATATTGAAAACAGGAAAGAATTAGAAAGTGTCTCCTTGGCCTCATCAACATCCAAATGTTTATAAAATTTACATTCGTATTAAAGTACGGAGTGAAATAATTAGGAAACTATTCGGCCGAAACAACTACATGTATATCTATAAATGTAAACATTGACCTGCACGCGTGACCTTTGGAATGTCACCTTATACTTGTAAACACAATTTTCTTTCGGGCGCATGGGTTTTTCCAAGCAAGTAGCCTGTTCCAAGCGTTCAGATAGTGGAGAGCGGTGCGAAGTAAAGAAAGCGATAAAAAGTAGAGGGGGACTGGGGAGAGAGGTGAGGGAACGCTTGTAAGAATTCTTAACAAAAGTGCCTTCCGGTATACCAGATCCTGGTATACCCTCTGATTGGTTGATTTTGACAGAATGTGTCAACACTGGAGCGTCTTCGATCACAGCGAGAATTGGATATGGCCGTTATGACAGACTCTACGTGCCGTCACGCAGAATTCAAACTCGCAACAAACACAGCGCTGAGTGACTTTCCAAACGTGTAGGCTAAAAGCGAAGAGCAAAGAAACTGTTTAAAACACGTAGTCGGTAGGATAGATGTCTTAGCAATTTCTCACCGACTGGCTTTGGAAAAATTCTTATTTTCCAGTTTTTTCCTCGAATAAAGCGTGCGTTGGAATGAAGGCAGGATAGAATGCCATTTACGATTGTTGTGGTAACTCCGTTGATTACCATCATGGAAGACCAAGTGGAATATTTGCGGCGGCAATGATGGGAGAAGATGTGGATGAAGCCGTTAAAAGTGGAAGCTGTGAAATTGTTTACTGAAGTGCCAAATCGTGGTTGTATAATGAATGGACAAAAGGACTTCAAAAAGGAAAGCTTGGAAAGCAAGTTGCAGCTATCGCTATTGACGAGGTCCACTCAATCACCGAATAGTAAATTTTCCCTTCAATTGTTGTGCATT